AAAAGAACTCCAAAGAATCGGGATGATTTGTGAGTAAATGAAGCACTCAGGAAAGGAATAATGTAAGTTTTTGAACACTTTCACTGAGCTGTACACCACTTCTGACTATATTTTCCACCCTTTGTTTTCTAATTTGAAATATCATTTGGCATTTTGGGACTGGAAGAGAAATTACATATTTACAAAGTGAATTAAATGGAGAGTATTTCAATTGAAGATGAGGAGAAACATGAAAAAGACAGCAGAATAATAATGATGAAATAGAAGAAATGGAAAATTAATTTTCCTTTTGCACTGCCAGAATTGTCAATAAGAAATAAATGAAAGGCTTCCTTATTCATTCATCCTGTGGAGGAAGAGATGATGAGAAAAGAAGCTTATATCACTGGAAAATATTGAAATTAACTATACCAAACAAGCTACAAAATGTGTTCAATGATTGACAGGAAAATATGCAAGAAATTGAATTTCGAATATGCCGAGAACTGATCAATGCACTGCATTCAATTAATCCTTCGAGTTGCGAGTTAAACTGAGAATCCAGAGCTTTGCCAATAAAATACTCATCTGCCATTCATGCAACAAATTGCAATTTGGTCTCCAGAGCACATCATCTGCTTGGCTATAATTTCCACAAATGCCAGAGTTATATAAAACTGATTGAATTAATTTCTCCACTCGTGTGTGTATATGTGTGGAATGCAACTGGTTTATTTGGAGTTCCATTGCTAAATTGCCTCTGTGTGTGTGTTCTGGCACATAAATTCGATTTGGGGCGGTGTTTTAAGCTCCCCCAGCGTGAGTGGCTTCATCATTTGGCATTAAGCTCGGGCGAGAGCTGTTAACTTTGATATTGAAATTGTGCTGTGTTCCTTTGAAGTCGCGCGTCAGTGTCTAGGTCAATAAGTGGGGCGCATTGCGTCCCTTTCACCACCCCCAAAAGAGACGAAACATCACAAGGAGAGTTTGCTTGACAGATGTGACGAGAGATGAAGGAGGAAATCCTCCAATTGTAAAGGGGGGTTTTCGCTGAAAGAACACCATCCAGACATTCTCTATGGCTTTCTCTCTGTCAATTAGAAATCCCAAGTTGGAGAGATGCTTAAATTTGCCCTGGCATTTTATCATAATCCTCCCCGCTCAACTAAAACTACCCCCATCGCCTTGTTCGCTGCCAGATGAAATCTCATCCAGCTGCAACTCCGCACAGAGTGGCTCAGCGCCCAGTTGAGAGATGAGGGATCAATCGATGGCGCCTTCGAGAGATGAACAATTGAGATTGAACAGTCACTCGAGTGGATAAATCAGCAAACTTCATGATAAACTTTTCCCTTTGACTCGACTCGAAGAATCTTCATGTTTTTCCACTTCAACTCGACTCTTTGGACCGCATATTCATGCTGTGGCGTTTCCTATTGTCAAATTCCATCACAACTCGAGCATATTTAATAAAATTTAATTTCTTCTCACCACCCAACACTCCGCTCAATGTTGCATCCAATGCACGCCGGCGTGCTGAGTGTGGCACACAAACTATAAGTGCAAACTCCGAGGGGATGATTTCACGTGAAGCTGGCGAAGGGTCGTTCGGGGCGTAATCAAAAGCAGATTACGGCGATTAAAATGTAATTTCCACCATAAAACTAACTTTGAACTGCTTTAAATTCGCATCATAACAAGTGTCAACGGCGAACGCCCAGCGAGAAAATTGTGTCGTGTCTTCATGAAAATTTCATATCATCCCAGAAATATGCGATGATGTCTTGTGTGTGGCAGAGGCGATAGTTCAACCCTCTTTCGCTATTTTCAGTGTGTTATTTGGCTCCCCGAAAGCTCAGTCTCTATTGTAAACTTTAGTCAAGGGGCAGATATTATGGTCAAAAGCTTCTTTTTCGACAAATTTACTTATTTTTGAAAATTATTTCGCTTAGAAAAATCAATTTATTGCTTTTACTAGGATTTTAACGATTAATATACCCTCAAAATCGTCAAATTTGTCTTAAAGCTGAACATTTACGTAAAAAAAACTTCAAATTTGTTAAACTTGAGGCGTAAAAATTTATTAAAGAAGCAACAATAAACCTATAAATATCATTTCAGTCTAGAAAAATGTGTTTTTGCTTAATAATTCCCACAGTTTGGACTTTAAATTGTGTTAAAACATTGCAAAATTTGCTATATTTTCTCATTTCGAAGTTTGAAAGGTTTAAAATTAGTTTAAGATGGATTTTTTAGGTCCAATTCATAAAGAATTTTCCAAAAACAATCTGAAATCTAAGCATTTGCAGAGCTTAAACATCTTGAGACAGAAAAATCTAAAATATATTGTGATTAAAATCGGTGAGAAGTGTTTGTGGAAGTGTCAGGAAGTGCTGTACAGATTCAAAGCACATAATCTCCCCCTTGACTTTAGTCGATTGTATCGCATAGCTTTTTGTTTGCATTTGGCGAATGTAATTTGGCAGTGGAGGCGCCTGGTGAAGCTGTATATTGATACTGTTTTTGCCATTTTCGCTCTTTTCATCAAGGTTTATAACGCAGAGAGAAAACGCACAATGCATGAATGGAGTGATTGAATGATGTGCACACAAAAATGCCTGAACTTGGAAGCGCCTTGTTTAGCTGGAGTAACAATGAAATGAAATGAATTCGGACACAGACTGAACTTTATTCACCACTTTATTTTTATCTTCAGTATATTTCACAGAATATTGTATTTTTTTTCTCATGTTTTTTTTTGTTATCCACTTGATTACACATACATCGGGTGAGCTTATGGTTAAAAATCACGTAAATTTTAAATATATATTTTATACAATGGAAACAATGCCAGGGGAAAAGTGTCAAATGATAAGGTACAATTTATTCACATTTTCAAAAATATTGCTTCATCTCTCCGAAAGTTAACACTGACATCATGTTTGATTAGTCACCATCGATACTCTGGTCCAGGAGAGATCCTCCACTTATCCTCGTGAAATGTCTCAAATACATATATCTACAAGACGTTAACTGCCGGTTGATTTCTCTTTATTTCTCTCTGAATGAGATTGATTATAGGATTTTTTTTTATTAGTAAGGATATTGCAAGAAACACCTCCAAATTGTCTCCTCTTTTTTTTTTTACACAGAACAGAAAAAAGGGACCTCAAATTCACATCATAGAAATTTTCTACATTGTCATAAGATTTAATTGTTACAATTACAAGTTTTTCTCTCTCTCTACCACAAAGGAGATAAATGATAGCATTTGATTACCCAGTATCGCCTTGTTAATTAATATTAATAATATCCTGTGTGAGTCATTAGGGTCCCAGAAAAAAAGACATATTAATTGCACGGCAACTTTTCACGCGCTTTCAGCTCGGTCGCCTCATTGTTTGGGATAATTGGTAATTTGTCATTTTTCCTTCAATCTCCCCGCGCTGGAAAAGGGCCTCGTCGGCGTACATTCTGCCTATTCACGATTCGCTCTATTCCATTGTCTTCCACCCTCTCGTCTCACCCTCTGCGTTAGGGGCGCAGATGTAATTATTTGAAGCCAGGTGAAACTCCTGGGACAATTTATTTGCAATGAAAATTAAGTTTTGTGAGCTTTTCGCTCCGCCTTCGCCACACTTTCCGCCCTCGTGGACAAATATTGTTGGGTGTTTTGGGGGGTGATTTAATATATTTCTAGTGCATGAACGTGTGTTTCGGTGGGAAGTTCGAGATACACACACGAGGGCGGATGATGTGGAGTGTGTGGCTGGGAAAAATATTCATTTATAATGTACAAATATCCATGTTATGAAATATTGCATTGAAGTTATATTGTGACTCTCGCAATGCATGTGCGGATTAAAAATGAATTTCATCAATTTATTATGTGGGAAAGTGATGGACTTTATTCTTTAAATGAAAAATGAACAGAGATGCATTTGAGAATATTTGTGAAAAATTTCCTTTCTGTTGACTTTACTTAATCGAGCGGCATAAATGCAATATTTTCAAGCAATATTCTATTATTCTCTGTCTAAATAGAGTCTTTGATATTTGAAATTTGCATAGAATATATTCGTATGAATAAATAATTCACAATTTGTGTCAGTTGTTCGACGCTTGTGAAAGAAACTCAGAGAGAGTTTTTGGAGCTTTTTTATTCATGAATTATAAATCAGTTTAACTCCAGCTTCTGGTGTAATCTAATCTAGTGATTGTGAGCTTTATTAGCGAAAATTAGGACAAAACACTAGAAAAACATACAAAAAGCAAGTTGACAAGTCCATATCAAGGCGCTGAAGGATGTAAATGTCTTTTAAACATTCCAAAATCATGATTTTATGTAGTTAACCCAGTAAGTATTATGGTTATAACATAAATTACGCTGTCTTTTTGCGCACATCTCTCTGCAATTTGCAATATCTCAGCCCCAAATTGATATATCGCCATGATTTCAACGTCATTTGAAAAATCATTCAATTTTTATTATTTTTTGTCTTAAGGTAAATGTCTCAAAAATTGAAAGAAATATTGAATTTTTAGCACCAAAAGGAAATTTGACCTATATTTCATAGCTGTTCTAACCTCATTTTCGCTACTATATAAATCCAAGTACATAATCTGTTTGAACCTGGCATAATTTTCAATGCAAACGTCTGTCCAAAGGAGCGGAAGAACATCAGTGAAAGTGGGAGTGAAGATGAGTAATTTTAGTTAATATTCCTTCGTTAAATGGATTGAGGTGAGAAACACACAAGTAGACATTCATCACACTTAATCACTAAGTTAATATTATTTCTCACAATTGCGGGGGTATTAAAAGAGTGTGTGTGTGTGCCATTGAGGGTGAGAAGATCACAATTATTAATTAAATCTAATGACAGTGCTCACGAGAGTCTTTGCACTGCATTCGCCCCGTTCGCAACGTTTAATTGTATTGTAAATTTTGAACACACTTACAGCTAATTGAGAGTGTCACCACCTTTTCCAATTTGCCATCCATGTGCGCTCAATTGCCAGGGAAATGATGGCACACGATTAGATTGCAGCCACTTCCTCCTCCTCCACGGCGTCGCGCTGGGGGCAATTATCCTGACTGGTGGCGTCTTCGGCCGCACCGGAAGCGCCTTGGCAGGACGTGAGGAAGGTGAGAGGACGAGTGGCGTGATTGCTGGAGCTGTAATTGAATGTTGACTCCTCCATCGATTTCCACTTAGCCTGATGATGTGTCGAATCAGCCAAGTTTCCACCTGCAACAGAATATTTTTGCCTTTACCACCGACTTCCCGACTCAGAACTCTCAGGAGATGAACTATCGCGCGCCCCTTTTGGCCCTCTTCATTGTCACAAGCGGACAGGCGAAGAGGAATGGCACGGAATCTCCTCATTTGGAGCGTCGTCTCTCATGGGAGGAAATCCATTCCCATTGAGTGGCGCTGCCCTTCAATTTGGGTCAGAATTATGTTTGTTCTCCACTCAATTACCAGAGATTCTCTCGATTCATGGCTAAATCGTGTTTTCCCACCCATTCAATGAAAACACATCTCTCGAACCGAGGAAGAAAAATAACTTATCCCAACTCCTGAGTGCATTTCCTGCAAATTGCAACTAAAATATACTCAGGCAGATTTCTCAGCAATCATTTTCCTAATCCCCGGCGGAGTTCTAAAGACGAGAGGGAAGTTTTCCGCAGTTGGTGAAATTAAAATTGAAGCTTCTTGTTCTTGCGCGGGCAAAGGAGATTCCCTCCAAGGCTCAATGGGGGAAGATGTAGTATACTAAAACTTTAAATTATTCATGTTCGTGCGACGAAATTAGCTGGGTGAAGAGGGGCAAAGAAGAGGGCAAAAAGTGCAAGAAAGCACATCGCTAAGGAGACCATAAAGAGATTTTACATGTGCCAGCGAAATGCTATGCAAACTGAATTTAAAACGCACGCCTTCGAAGTGCACTTTGTGAAATTCCCGAGCTGTAAATTGCATTCACGGGTTATTCAGGAAATTAATGCATACATCGACATCACACTTTCCTCCACTTCTTATGAGATTCACAAGCGTTCTTTGCACACTCAGAGAAGAAGGGGAGAAAATGCGGTTGGGCGTTTTGAGGCTCACCGTTTGACTCCTGCAGAGCACTCAGGCTGGCGGTGGGGATGATCCTGTGCGGGAAGCGCGGCGAACCCTTCACTCTCTCCCTCAGCGTGGGCTGCGACGTCTGGTGCACGATGGAGGGCCTCCGGCCGCCGGGCAGCTGGAAGTTCACCCTGGGCTCCGAGCCATTGATCTCCTCTAGCTCTGGTGGTGGCGTGTGATTGTCCAGCGGCACTGAGCCGCTAATGATGAATGCCGGCGGCGTGAACTTTCTGTGTCTCGGCCGCATGTAGGGCGCCTCGTCGGCATGCGAAGTGTGCAGTGAGCCACCGCTGCGCGCCAAGGAAGTCCTCCGCATCGCCCTGAAACCGCTTCCGGCGGTGTTCAGCGCCTGGCAGGAGGAAGTGCCTCCGCCCGACGGCACAAGTCCGCTCAGCAGACCCATGTGCGCCTTCAGGGCAGCGGCAATTCCGCCCCCAGTTCCACTTCCGCCCGCCTGTCCGCCGATTGAGATGGTGGAGGTTTTCCTGCTGGGCGGGCGAGAGCTGAGGAAGAGTCCTCGGATCCTGTTCAACAGCCCCGAGCGCTCCGCCGTGGCCTGTTGATGCGTGAGCCGCAGATTGAGGAGGTCAATGGCGGGCAGGCGGATGGTTGTGCTGCCACAGGGCTCGTCCAGTTGCGGTTGGGAGCTGAAGGTGACCGAGCGCCGCATTGGAGCCTGTTAAATGCAAAATCCCGCTTTGGTTTCATTTTGCGTGCATCGGAAAGCGTTGGCAATTTCCTGGCAACTCAATTTCACTGTGATATTAAAGCCACCAACTCTGCCTCAAAATTACATGCAACAGCACAAAATATAATCATCTGCACTGACCAATTGTGTCCGCGTTGACACAAATTGGTGGAACCTTTTGCCGTGAAAAGCTCTCGCACGGTGAATTATTAGCGTGCCTCAGCCTACAAATCACTGGCTCATTATTATTGCAAAATGATATGAAATGGCTTAGCCATTTGCCATGCACAGTGCAAATTAATGTATTAATTGTAAGCACCAAATTGCCAATGAGTTTCTCATGCTTTTCAAGCATATTGCTAATTTGAGGGATTATTTTTTTGTATCAAATGATTCTGAATGAAGCGAACATAGTATTTTCATTTTGCCTGATTTATTTTACATTAAATTTATCACAAAGAGCGCGAACATAATATTATTCAAACCGCAACAGTGAAAGGAGGATTTTATATCACAACAAAATAAAGTTCACCACAACAATATATATTTAAATTTATAAAAATGGTTTTTAATTCCATGTCGAAAATATAAGTTAATTATTTCGCAATATTTATTATTCACCGGATGTTAAATAGTCATAAAAATGCAATTTTCATGTTGAGTGCATTCGCTTTAAATAAAATACAAAACAGTGGAAATTGCATAACAGGTTAATTCATTTATTCATTGGCACAACTATAACTATTTTATCTCTTCTTGATCCAATGTATTTGCTGTGCGATGTGATTATATTTTCTATATGTATAACTCTCGTTTTGCCTCATTTGTCTGAAGCGGAATAATTAGTTGTCCAAGTTTTAGCCGCATATCAATTATGACTACAACCAAATGCGATTGCCAATAATGCCTTTCATTAAAATCTCTGCAAAGCCTGATCATTAGTTGCGTGTCAATTACTCACTTGCATGTGATCTGCCGATGGCCAGCTGGCCCTGGGAATGACGGGCGGCAGGACTGACAGGAGCAGCAGCGGAAGTCCTCCGCCGATGCTGGGCGTCCTGGGCTTCGGCGGCGTGACGCCCTCGTTGACGACAGTGAGCTCGGTCTTCATATGGCGACCCAGGGACATGTTGGAAGACGTGGTGGAGGACGCGGACTCCAGGAGCTTCTCCAGCTTCAGGATCTCCGCATCCAGAGCCGCCACCTCCTTGCGATACACGCGATTCTGCACCTCCACGCGGTACTGCAGCTCGCGCCGGTCGTCCATCACGAAGCGCCGCGTGTTGAACTCCATCTTCAGGCCCATGCTGCGCCCGATGGGATCCGCCGCGTCCTCGCCGTGCGTCCAGATGTCGTACAGCTTGGGCAGGAAGAGGAGACACAGCGTGGCCGTGGTGGAGGTGAGAATCAGCGCGGCGATTGTGATGAAGGCCAGCGTGACGCGTTCTGAGATGAGATTTGCCAGGACAACCACAATGGCGCTCGTGATAACCACCGAATACACAGACACGCCGATGTACTGGGAGTCATTGAGTGCGGGAATCTTAACGTGGCGCGTCTCCCAGGCCATGTAAACACCCACAACCAACAGAAGACCCTTGTAGGCGTACAGAGCGCCCAGCCAGCTGCTGCTGTGCTGCGACCGGCACACTTCCACCTGGTGAGATTGAGAGCTTTTGAAGGTGGTAATGTACCCCAAATCCACCCGCCTGCCAACCGCCCCCGACAGACTACATAAATCATGCGATTGTTTGCTGGAAAATTTACGCCACGATGCAAATTGGGGAAGGCAAAGGTAAACAGCGAGGCGGAGCAATCTCGGCTTCGAGGGAGTTTCTCGCTGACCGCGGAAAAAGTTAATTTACCCTCATTAAATATTCAAACGAAAGACACACCAGAGTGTGGTCACTTAAGCGTCACGGGCGGGTGGAGAGCATCAGAGAGAAAAAACTCACTCGTGGCTTTGTAATTAATTAATCCCAAATTAATTGCACATTTCACTCATCTCCTTCTCTATTCTGTTCAATTTTCTAAGCGTAAATTGGAACACGCGGGACTTAAATATTGAATGGAGCAAAAAGGGGGTTGAAATTGGACAGGTTTGGCTCTCTAAAGAATGTGCGCCTGCCTTTGTCGGGGGTGCCTTTTGAAAGGCAAAGAGAAGGCAATTGATAACATTTTTATCGCACACATGAAAGCTCCGCGCAGTTTCTAAACCCCACCATTATCCTATTCTGAAAAAGCCATAATCATCCTCTTCAACATCTTTCTCCTATTTATCTCCGGCGCTGGAGAGTGAGTGTTTGTCTGGAGGGCAGACGGTCTTGGGGAGAGTTGATAGGAGGGTGTGAGAGAATAAATGGAACTGAATAGCGCAATTTATCTGCGGGAGCGCTGGTGTGAGCCAAAGTGGAGATATTATGGACAGAAGTGGTGTTCAGCGCCAGCAGAAGTGTTGCGAAGTGAAAGTGGTTGAGTTTTTGCAGCCAAGAATGCGTTTTGACAATGCTTTTCTCGCTTGTGTATCAGTTCGTAAAAGTTATGAATTTGGGTTGCAACTTTACGCTTTTCACAGCTTATATTAGAGGCCGCCGGCGGCGCTAGTAACGATTAAGCATTGAAAGGGTTGAAAGGCGATGTTGGGAATTTATTTAATATAAATTTCAGCTGTCAAACGCGAAGAATCAATTCGACAGGGCGAAATTGTGAAACTTTCCCTGATATTGGGTGCATTTAAAGTGGGTTTCTTGAAGGATTTTGCTGATCGAGATGTCCGGAAAGATGTTTTCCCGGACCTCAAAATGTCATGATTGTCAATTTCTTTGATTTTCACATGAATTTACCGGCTTTTCTTGTCTTCTTATGCTAGAGAATAAATTCCCGACTTTCATAAATGTTAGGAATCGTAATTCATATTTTTGACAGCTTATTTAGAATGTTGTGAACATAAAGTTGCAACGACTGTGCTGATTTTACTCTCTCTTATTTTCAGTGGTGTACAGATTTCGTCCGCATTATCTCCACCTTGGCGTGCGCTTCGAGGGCGCTTTAAGACATGGAGGAAGAGATGAAAAGTGAATTGTCGCATGCGGATGCGCCTCACCTGTGGCTGGTACACCACGCTCCGGTCAATTGAGCTTATCTCGAGACTGAGATTGTTCAAGTGCCTCTCCATGGGATCCGTCACGATCCACAGCGTCACCACGAGTCCGTCTAGCAGGAGGAGGGCGCAGACCAGGGAGATTAGCTGAGTGTCCTGAAGCATTTTGTCCTTGCAGACACTGCCGCCGCTGCGCGTGAAGATGCGATGAACTCTGTACGTTTTGGCGAACATGGAGCCAAAAGCCAAGGAGAATCCTGCAGATAGCAGATAAACGCGTGCCTGAAAATAAATAGCATGGCTTCATGCTGGATCGCCTTAAGTCCTTTATTCTCCAATTTGCCAAAACTGACGCATCTTCTGATGCCCCCGGGCGAGAGGGCGATTGTGGCTGCGAGGGCTGAAATGGGGGTGGCTTTAAGTGCAATGTTGTGTCGCCGAGTGGATGGGAGAGAAAAAAGTCCATTGCGGAGGGATGCTTAATCAAAAGCCCATGGAGTGACAAAAAGCGACATAATGAGGAGAAACGCGCGCGTCTGTCGTCGCCAAAATCAATTTCCCTGGCTTGGGTGAGACGCAATTTCACACCCATTTCAGAGTAATGCTAAAGCACACACACTCGCAAGGGCATTTAATGGAAATTCTCCCCAGTGATATGTAAATCCAACCAGAATTCCGCATTTATTACTTATTCATACAAAGTCATCGCGCGCTTGATGAAGTTCCAGAGCTCTTCGCAAGCCCAGTAAATTTGCTCAAGCCTTCGGATAGTTTTGTGCAATTCCACCTTAAGCTCCATCATCGTGTGCCATTGACTGGGCCCGAAATTAATGTGAGGGAAAACAATGCTGAACAAATAGTGGACGAGAATGAATCAAATGGTCCAGAGATGAATTCATACACATAATTGGATACTGAGGTACTGTTTAAAGTGAAACACAAACACGGGCGATTGTTGTTTTCGCAACTTTCTTCGAACACTCCGGCATTCCCAGTGGTGTTATTTGTGTAGGAAGCTTGACCGCTCCTGCGCTTATGGAAGTCCTCATTTAATTCTGATGGTGCTTTCATCCCCCGGGGGAGAAATTTGAAACTTCCACAACCCAAGTCAAAAGGAAAGTAATTTTTCTGTCCGTCAGTCCATCTGGACCCGTCATTCAAAGCCTCTCCAATGTGAAATCGAAACTGGAGCTCGTGATAATCCTGACTCACGCTGAGATTTTGTCCATCAATTTCCCTGACAATCTCTGCAAAGCACACGCCTCATCATTTTCCAGTATTAATCAAGGGGAAGACAATACAGTCAGAAGTGGTGTACAACTCAGCAGAAGTCTTGGGAAGTGGAAATGTTTAAAAAATTGCATTATTCTTTTAATGAGTTCTTCTTCTACTGACAAATTATTCCGATTTCTCGAATTTCCTTCGATTTTCACGCATAATCAATCACAAAAATCTTTTTTTTAGGTTATGTAAAGAATCATGGACAGATTTAGTGAATAATTCACATTTAGAAAAGTTTTTGGACAATTTTGACTTTATGAACTTAACCAGATCATTTTGTAAATGAGAAAGCTTCGAAACGGAGCTTTTGAAGATCTTTTTAGTAATATTTTGAGGTTAAGGTTAAAAAAAAGATGACCAAATAGCCGTTTTAAATTTATTCTAACAGAAATATCTGATAGAATCTTAAGTGATTCATTACAATTTGGGACTTTTCAAGATCTGGAAGTGTTTGAAAGTTGTATACAAATTAAGTCCATATTATCTCCCCCTTGGTAATAAGTGATTTTTAGCATTTGGCACTAAAGGGAGAAAAGAATTGCTGTGACACATTTCAGTGAGATTGATGAAGTTTTTTTTCGGCAAGTTTTTCGGAAAGAAATCCAATTAATTTTGTAACATCGACCATTGATAAATTCATCAAATGTTTATGAGCAAATGTCACGCACGACACGACCGAGGGGTTGCCGAAGGGGGTGGAGAAAGTGAGCCAAAGTGTTTGGGTGTAAATTTGTCAGGAGATGATTTCATTATTTGGCAGAGCTTGGGGCTTTTCATTAGATTTATGACCACAAACAGGTGCCAGATTACGACATTTATGCCCAACCTGGCCTACACTAAATTCCCCACATGCGTTCTCTGGCCGGGGAGCATCGTCTGCCGCCCCTTTCTTCATCCCCTCCTCTGCACAGCAACAGTCGGAACGTGTGAATTTGGGGGGACACATCGAGCCGCCACACGACACGGGAAAGTATAGTGTGAATGAGCGTGGGAAGATCCTCTAATCAACATTTATGTGGTGCTTTTATGGGTGCTTTTGATGTGGCAACAGAAGCTCCTGCGTGTCAATGCGTCCTGGCCATTCCGCACGACTTTGGAGACAGAGATGAATCACCTGGGGAATTTATGGGCGACGCGAGGAGCTCAATAAATAATTTACTGCAGCTAAATTACTTTCTGAATTCACACATCCTTTGCAGGACAATCACGCGATAAGTTATGACTAAATTTCTGCACCTGCCAAATTACTCTATCGCATGGTGTGTTTATCGGGAAAATTCATTGGAAAACTAACTGTTGAATGGCAATAAAAGAGCTCCTATTCATCGCAACAAGTGAGTGAAAATTGGCCATTAAGTGACGTTTGATTGCCAACAAACTAGCCAATAAAATGCCATTTAGAGTAGATGGAATAAAACTTTGCATCTTGCAAAACACTCTTCAAGAAATCGAGAGATTTCTCCAAGAATTTCTCTTGTTTAAGAATATGTGCGCTTTGCAGAAAGTTTTATAGACGCAGAATTACGTTAATGGAAAAATTAAATTTTCTCTTCAACTCAAAGTGCAACGCAAATTAAATCTTGTTTTATTATTTCCTCTCTTTCTTTGGAATGTAGGGGAAAATTTGAATTATAAATTATTCTTTTTTTTTGCCTGTTGAAATGCTTGGAAATTCCATTAGACAGGCTTCTATAAAGGATAGCTAAAAGAATTGTGTGGTGAATGAGTGAAATAGAGTTGTGAAGACTTGGAAGGGATGAAATGTTAGTGAAAAGGGAAAATTAACAAGTGAATTTATGATATCAAAAAGGCACTTTTGAAACGATTCAGTCAATTCATTTTCATTCCATTAGCTTCCAGCATAATAATAATGCTCAACAGTTGAAATCGCAGATTAAAGAGCAGAGAAAAAGGGGGTGAATTAGTGAGAATTAATTGTATTCATGGGAAAGCTCTGAAAAAACACTGACTTTACTCTATAAGAGAATGCAATTAAAAGTTCCCAGAAGTGCTGCAACATTTATGCAAATGAATCTTGAGCTGTTGTTTAGTTTGCTCTTCCAATTGAAGGTGATTCAAGGAGTTTCATTAATTCGTAATGTTTTGGCTCTAATGAACTGAAAGCACACTTCAGAAAGAGCAGCCAGAGTGAGAAAGTGTGTGTCTGGAGGAGAGAAAACTTAAAATCACATTATGTAATTTCACTCTTCGACAAGTACCATTAAATATGAAGAAGCTAACGAGACAATATAATTTATCACTGTTGCCTATATATATTTCCTCTGCGCTGGGGGTGAATTGGAGAAGAGGGAAAGCAAATGTGGAGAAGATGGGCCAATTTGATGGGCTTCGCAAGAGAGAAAAGAGATACTTACAGTGCAAACAGTGGAAAAAGCCACTTCCGTGGCCGGAAGTGTTGAGTAGTCGAGCCCAAGGAGAATCACTGCCATGTAGACCAGAATACAACCCACAGCTGTTATGTTGCTCAATTTGGGACTCGACAGTTTTATTGCTCTGCGAAAAAAGGGCGGCAAGAGTGGGAGGGAAAAGTGTGCTTTAGTAGAGTGGATTCATGACTTTTTAATACTTTCATATGGTGGGTTTTTTTTTTCAAAGCACTCTAGAAAAATTTATGCGCAGAGTTTAAAAGACAATTCAAAAAGACGGCCCGAGAATGGAGTTGGATTTTTTAAATATCCACCCCAAGATTATGGACCTAAAGAATGAATTGTAATGTCATGACTTCTTTATATATAATTTCGGATTAGTAATTTTGGAGCGATTCCCAGTCAAACACAGAAGTTTCTCACCTTAAGTCACTTTAAACTTTCTTACATCACTGTTTTAGTGAGAAAAGCTAGAACTGGTTTTACTTATTCATAAGGAATATTAAAGTTTAGCATTCCTCAGTTTTAATGGGAATCGATCTGAATTTTTCCTTTATACTCTGCGGCAAATAGGAGAAAATTCCTTTGCGAATCACATTTCTTAGAGTGTTCTTAACTTCTGAATGACTCCGTAATTGGGGAGGTATAAGTGCAAAATTTCTCCGTCTGCATCACGCTGTGCAATGTGGCAAACAATGGAACTCACTTGAGCTTGCGGAAGTGGAGGTTGAAGGCGAGAAAAGCCAGTGCCAGTGTTACGCCAACGGACGCCAGCGAGGTCATGGTGTAGAACGCCACGGGAGCAATTGTTGCAATTCGCAGCTTAAAGACCCGCTTGGCAATTGGCACTTGGCCGCTCTGCCACTGCACGGCCACACACTCGGGGCATTGGAAGTCCAGGTGCTGCTTGCCGGGATAGTACAGGGCCACCGCATTGAGCTGCCCGCGCTGGATCTGGTAGAAGGCGGACGTGCCCACCCTGTCCGCCCCGCTGAACGACACCGGACCCTGCAAGGCAACGGGGTTGAGGGGGTGGAAAAATTCAATAAACACAATCCATCCGCCGACTCTCTCTCTCCTTCGGCTCCGTTTCAGCCAAGACTTCAGCCTTCAGCTTCAGCCGTGGAGGTGAAATTGTGACTTTCTTTGAAACCGAACACTGTGCAATCGATTTTCATCGCCTTCTAATGGCAAAAAGGGAAGATTTACTCCGATTACAAAGGCGGGATTTGTCTTTTTTCCGCTGAATTGGCCAAATTTGTCAAGTGTGTCGATAGAATTCTGGGCATCTTCGGATGACCAGACTTTTTATTGCGTCATTTGAATGTGTCGTAAAAGATTGTACCAAGGAGTGTTTGAGCAAGAATATTATCATCATAACATGCACGTTTACGGTGTTTCTTTTCTTGGACACAATCCAGAAAATACACTCATCGATAAAACATGTAATCAAAATATTATCGAAGATTTCTCTCTATAAAGTTTTATCATTGGCCACAATCGATGTTTTCAAACTTTTGAATCACACCCACAACATTGGGCAAATTGAAAGTAGCACAGAAAGTTTTTAATGAAGTTCCTTCAGTAATAAAAATCTACAAAACTCCCCAGCGAGCAGCAGAATCAGCGGGGAGTTAATAAAGAGTGCCTAATATACCTAAATATCAATTTGCCGTTGTGACAGTAATTTGGAAACTTTTTATTATACAATTTATCACATGAAATTGAATGCCGCGCGCCGGCAAAAAGGCATTATTGACAAATAAATCGTGACATAATTGAAGGAGAAATTTAGAGAAGAAATTCAATTTCACGATTCACCTTGCAAATATAATGAGTTCTAGATTGGAGGGGAGCTCAGAAAACATCTTGTTATGCAAAGACGTTCGTTTTATAGCCCTCAATATTAATCCCGCAATGCGATATTGTAAATTGGGAATTTCACACTCACGGAGACTCCGAGGAATTGCAGGCGACTGAATTGGTTGAGGAACTCCGTGGCCATGTCGTATCTCGTGTAGTCGAAGCCGTCGAGCTTTGACTGGACAGATTCATTCCGCCAGCGCTGCTCGGCTCCGCGGAGCGCCAAGGCGATCGCCCAAACGGCGTCGTACGTCTGTGGAGCGTAGCGAGACGTCGGCTGGGGCACCTTGAGGGCCTGGAGCTCCTCCGAGAACATCCTGTTGGTCTGTTGATTGGCAGCAAGGGGGAGATATTATGGTCAGAACTGGTGTACAATTCAGTTGAAGAATATTTTTAAGTGGAAGTGCTTCAATATTTTCAATGTGGTGCGTTCAAAAGTCACTTTCAAAAGGAATTTACACAATTTTTGGAGAAAACAAATTGTTTTTTACGTTTTTTAGGTTATGTTATACAGTTAGGACAAGCTTTTCCACTAAATTACCTTTAAAACCATTCATTCTTGCATCTAAACTGGTATTATGGAAGTGTACAGATTTAAGCCAAATTATCTTCCCCTTGATTGGCAGTGAAATAGAGCGGAAATGAGCTTCTTCAGCAGTTTGTGTATTTCTTGTGTGTAAAAGTCATGCGGAGATTTTAATATACAAGTTTGCCTTGTTGATATGAAGTGCATAAATATTTATACATGCACACAAAGAGCTTTCCAATCTCACGGAATAAAATGGCAAAACTTTCCAATTTCCCTTCAAATCCCCAACTCACCAATCCACTGAAGCTGACGGAATTTCCCACTATGCTATTGTGACTGGACACGATGATAAGACTCTCCACGGCGGCCTCCAGGTGCTTCTGCTGGCACTCCGCCGTCGGCGACTGGAGCCACCAGGGAGGGCCCAGCGTCTCGTGGAGAATCCATGCATAATCCGCTCCATACATTCCCAGACGGTATGCCTGAGGGACGCAGAGATACATACATTCTCATTCAGCATCGACAAACTTCTTCAAATGTCTTACAACACGACACGATGGCGAAGGAATTCCTCATGGACTCCTTCACGTCCTCGTAATTCAACGAGATTTTTATTTATTCACTCACACAATTTTCCCATCAATTCCCAACTGTGCCGCCTCGCATTGGCGTGCGTTTGGGGGCGAAATCTTGGGAGAAATGTGCAAAAGTACAGAAGTGGAAAAGCTCCCCGAGAAGATGAATAAATTTGACACACTCTCGAGATTTGGTCATGAGTTTAATATGAGGATTGTGTGTGTGGGGAAAAAATTGTCCTGTTCATTGTGGATTTTACGATCAAACTATATATGCGGGACAACTTTTATTGCCATCTGATCAATTCAGCTTCTCTCTACGAGCTTTCACTGTATTGACTCTGAATGCAACTTTACTCACACATTTCTGCTGCAAAGCCCGTAATCGCATTAAAGATATTGGAACGCTCAAAGTCATCAGCTTTGAAATATTACTCCTCAAACACACAAACTTCAACTTGATGTTTTGGGGCATTCGGAGAAGTGTCTTGATTCAATGTTTATGCCTTTTTGCTCAAATTTTGTACTGCAAATGACAAAGAACAGCAACGCTGGGAGTTAATGGAATTGAATATTTAATAATGCTTCGTGTGTGTGTGTCTTGCGAGAGACAAAAAATAGGTTATTTCCTCTTAAGATCCTCATGCGAAACGAGAAGTCCTCAGGGAGGTGTTCCGTAGTTAACGTGCCCCGTAATCGAATACTTTATCCGCTCAGGATTCCATTCCACCCACACTGAAAATCTCTGTATTTGTTTTATTGCCGACAAAGCGCCATGAGACGGAAGAGAGAGAGAGAGAATTTAGAGACACTCAACTTCCCATTTCCGCGATGTTTTCTCCATTCTCTCCTAAATATGATGTGTCTTGGCAGAGAGAGGGTGGAGAGATACAATCTCTGGAGACACGAACTCATGCACTTTTTCTTTATTCAAAGATCCTCCAAAGATGTGTCTGACAAAATGTGTGCGCGCGAGAGAAGATGGGACGAAAAATTGTTTAACAGTTTTCTGAAATGAATTTTCTTTCCCTCGAAATTTTCCCATCAAGTCACGGAAATGGGAATGAGAGAGTGTGGAACTTTGTGTGAGTAAAGTTTCAAAGTACTGAGATTTTGTAATTATTTTACGGATGATATACCATTTCGCGTAGCAGAAGATTTATCTTCCGCCCAAGCGTGCCATGAGTTCTGTAGCAAGCTTTTGCGCGCTTAAAGCAATTACAGACTTGTGGGTTAGTGTTGAATCGACGAACACTGGGATCAATCTTCCGTGGATGAGCTTTAAGTGTGTAAAGTTCAGATCAGTTATAATTCGTGGACTAACTGGCGCTAAACACACTCAGATACTATTCTTCTTTGTCGACACTAGCGACAATTTTGCTTCGTGTTCCGCTCTCAGCTGTCAATTTTACGATAAACTTGCGAAAATGGAAGATTCGCGGAGGAATTGAACGATTTTAAGAGCCCAATGAAATCATTCGCAACAGATCCGCGATTTTGTCTTCGGAATATGGCGCGTTTTATAGCTCAACAAGCTGTCAGCCGTAGACACTCGCTTATCCTCTCGTGGATCACCCGCAAGTCTGTACTCGCTTTTACATTAAACACATCAAGACTTCTCTCCGTTGACTTTTGTGCTCAATTATCGTCTATTTCATCAATATATTGAGTGTCTTGACAAATGAACGGAGCCTCTTCAGCGCACCATTGAGATTTCCACTGTCCATCACTGGGTTGCATGTAAATGCAGTAAATTCTAGGCTCCTCACTGGTGTCCAATTTCGGTTCACCTTGCTGCCAATTAGAATAATTCACTGCTGCTCTTCGATCGTTCGCCCAGTGCCAAGTTTTCTCCCCATCAAATCTGTAGCCGCCAATTAAAACGTCTGACGGAAAATCCTTGATAATCTGATGAACAGCTGTGTTTTCTTCAGGTGATTTAATGGTCAGCATCTCCCACTGATTTTCCCCGCATTTATCAGTTGCACCATACCAATCGACCTGACAAGCGAAAGAGAAGCTTTAGCACTGAGGCTTTTAAAGTTTTTTCCATCTCATCTTCTCACCATTTCAGTGCTGATATGGATTATTTTGCCCTGCAGCGAGATAGTATTGAAATCCTCAGCTGAATACTCTTTGATGAGCAGAAGAAGCACCAAAATCAACTTCATCTCTACAAAAGCGCGGAGAAGACTAAACAACTGACCAGCTTTACATCAAATGCCGTCTTTGAGAAACCTTCACAAGACGCACTGTTGAAATAATCGCGTGACAAAAAGCTCCTCCCATTGGAAAAGGTTTAATGATACTCATTAATTCCACTGCGAATCATTATATGAGAAGAACAATTCATCAAAATGACAATACAAAATGCTGCAGAACTCATGGCATGACAATTAAAAAATCGCGCATTTTCGCCGACATCTTTCATGGTGAAAGAGTTAAAGAGCGACTCACCTCGCAGAATATCTTTGGCGCCAATTCATTGGAGAAGCTCCCAATGATGATTCTGGTGTCCAAATCCTGCAAAGTACACAACAAAGGCAATTGAGCAAAGTGGAGGAGGAAGAAAAGGGGATTATCATTGGATTATGGGTGAGATTAATTTCAATTTACAATGCAAATTATTGCTGTACAATTGTTCACTTAGTCGCTGTCTACTGGGGAAGTTGAAGATTAATTCACCTCCAGTAAATATTTGTTCCACTTGAGAAGTGACTTCCGGTAAATCTCATTAGGTGTAAAATACCTTGAGCTCCACTTGGAGCAACTTCTTTAGCCGACTCTCACTTAATCTCGCGGTGTGCGGAATTTTTGCCACCCTCTTTGTTGTGTGGCTTCAATTTCACTCTTGGGAATTCCATTTGGGAGAAATATAATTGTCGACACAGACATTCTGTACATATATAGGCATTCCATTGAAATGCTGAGATGTTTTGATTTCCGTTCACTTGCCGCAGAATTCACGGCGTAAACTGCGGAGACGCCAATTCGCACAATCAATATGACGATGGTTTCGGTGGTTTTTACCACTCGCGCGGCATTTCAACAGTTCCTCCACAATTTTCTCTGATTAATAAATTTCTCTATGGGTGTGAGAAGAAGCGACGGTGAATTATTTAGAGTGGTTTCTCAGGCGTCTTTCTCTCAAAACACACCCAACTTCCCCAGTCTTTCTCTAATGGATTTTTCACGCTGAAGAGCAGCGGATATTGCGGAGTTTCGCATAATCCTAGCAATTTTCTAATTAGCATCTCAACTATGCACCTGTCGGAGGATGTCTAATGCTGCAAGCTCTCACAGGAAACTCCTTCGACCGCAATTTCCGCCCTCACGGGCATCCATTTCTGACACCTGACATTGTGGCGCAGGTGAAATATAAAATGTAACCCGAGAGAAACATCCCCTATTAATAAAGTGATTTTAATTGCATGGATATTGGACAGTATAGCGCCTCATGTGACAGATTTACTGCTGCTTTCCGCCACTTTTGCCGCACACAACAAGATGCATCACTCGAGGCTTTTGCAGAGCACTTGCGGAAATGACAGAGGGTTTCGTGTGCCATAGACATGGAGATTTAGTGGTTGCTAAATCAACAAACACCGAAAGGCATTCCTCAGTTTCGGCGTCAATCACACACTCTGAATCTGTAATGAAGCTTTGTGACTCGGAAGGAGTTTCGCATTAGACAAAGGGAATATTCACTGTGCCTGAGAGACAATTAAGGTAATCATTCTTAGCTCAAAACCATCAAGTTCACCTCCGGCGAAACTTATTCATAGATCTGTTCATAATACGCTTAAGAGATTTTGTCTCTGAATGCGAAGATGTTTGTTTGAGTTTCTATGGTTGATAAATAAATACAGAGAATTTTCATTTTCAGATTCGATTGGACCAAATTGAACAAATATTCTTATTGCAACCCTTTCTAATGCTTTAGAGGAGTGAGAAATGGCATCATCTTCAATGGGAATTTAAACTGAAAACCCATCTTGAGGCAAATTGTTCTCTCTGCCACACTAAGGCAATGTCAAATGCTAAACACGATTTTTACCATCTGCGACGTGGCTTTCCTGCTTCATGTCACAATATTCTGTGTGCCAACACTTTATGGAGCATCTTCTTCCGGGGACTTCGCTGCCCGAGGGCGTAAAAAGTGGAGAAATACGGCTGCGAGATTTCACCATATTCCATCCGTGGAAAGTGGTGTGAAGCGTCACCATGTGATGTGAATTGTCAGGACATGACTGGAGAATTGGATCCAATTGTCCAGAATGGCAAGTGCAGCCATTGGAACGAGAATATACCTCTCATTTTCATATTTTCCCCGAGAGAAGTAAGAAAAAACACCTCCCGAAATGTTGATTCTTGCCACCCACTTTCGCCAAACTCTCCTCTTTAGGCCAGAAATTTCACCCTCAACTGCTATATTATATTAAAATATATTAGAAAGGATGAATTTTTCCGATTACATTGTCACATTTTTGTCGCCCTTTCGCCATCATCCCTTCAAACTCAAATATTTTCCCGTACACTTTCCATCCCTCCGCTTCACCCTTTATTTCCCCCATATCTTCGTATTGCCTTTCATGAAGAGAAAGTCCTCATTGAAGACGAAGATGCGAAGCTGTAAATTTTCCACTCTTCACACACTTTCAATTTCCAAAAAATTCCTTCCTCTTGAAATAAGAGCTGAACGTGCTGAAGAAGTGACGAAGGAAAATTGGCTGGAAAAAAGCGCCGCCACACAGCGAATATATTGTCTCATTCTTTTGCTGTCTCAAAGGGAAATCCTCTTAATTCATTATGTGTAACTGGGAAAATAGCTCCATTTGACGGCATCAGAGTAGAAGGGGGCGATATTCATAATTAGAAGGGTGTGAGGCATTATAGAAAAGTGATGGTGTCAATTGAAAAAGAAGCTTTGGCCAAATTGTCTGATTCAATCCTCATCATTGACTCTCTGTCTCACCCACTTTCCGTCATCTCGTGTGAAAAAGGCACCTAACATTATCTTGTCACCCTCTCGGCAAATAAAACTTTGTCTTTTCCCCGCGACGGCACTTCTTATTGTACTTTCTCGGCGGTGTGAGAACTTTTCGTGAAATCGCCTTCGCCAAAAAAGCTGCCAGGAAAAAAGTCTAATGGTTTTTGTTTGTCTTTTCGGTTTTCCATTCAATCCAATTATTATTTATATTTTGCTTTCCACACTTCTCCCACTTTTTTTGCATTAACTCACACATTTTCTCGTCTTTACACACCTCCAACAAACCCCACATAAGGGCGCAAAGGCAACAAGAAAACCCCATCACAACTTTTGGAGGCTTACGCTGAGCAGAGATGACTCTGTATAGTTCAAAGATTGGGATTTATTGCGCTCTGAAGATGTCCATTCGGTATCTCTGTGTAAAGTGCTCTAAACTGGACACTTTTCCAGATAGAATTTGACACAGATTTCACTTCTTCAGCAATCCGGCCAACACTGTTCTGTGCGTTCTCAACTCAGATCCAATTCAGTGTTCTCTCGAGGAGAAAATCATGGGAATAAGTCAGCGGTAATGGAAATGTTTTACTCACTCGCAGCATCCGGAGTTGATCCTTGAAGTCAGTTTCGGCAAATGTGATTGTCGCTGCACAGGAAATATTGGCCGTCTCCAGCTCCGTGACGAGATCATTCACTGCCAAGGAGTGAATCTCCTCGTTCTGCGAAAACGTGGTCACCGTGTCCCAGCCAAAGCGCCTGATGAAGGCAATGCGGGCGGGATTGTGCGACGAGTCTGGCGCCACGGTTCTGTAGAACAGCGGAAACTCCCTTCGATCGCTGAGGGCGGGTGAGGTGGATCCGAAGGAGACCTGTGAGGAGCAATAATGGAGTAATTCCCTCAAATCGATCACCTTTCTCTCAATCACGCTACTCGCATGATGGGAGGAAATTGGGAGATAAAGAAGAGAGACAGAAAGCTGTCGATTGGTGGAAAATAGTAGACTTAATTCCGCTCAACTGAAGCGATAACCATTCGGGGTAAATTGATGATTGAAAGAATTACTCTTGTGCGACGAATTGCACTTGAATTTCAAGGCACACACTCGCAGCCTGATGACTGTACGTGAGAACTCAGCAATAGTCCTCAATTTGACCCATCCATGATTAAACAGCGCTCGACGCTGTGTTCATTCCTAACATTTCTGCGGCATTTTCCCAACACATGGATGAAGTGCTGCAGTGTTGAAATCTCGGGTATTGCATGGAAAATTCATTAAGCAACACGCCATGGATATGCAGAGGGAATCCAATTTATTCCCAATTAATTTCACCCCCGCCACCCTAATCACTTCACTCAAACTGATGAGTGGTCTGCGGAGGAGTGCATCAACACGGAGAGGAGCTCAGGAAGAATGCTCTCTAACCACTTAATAAGACGCCACACAATGAATAATTCCCTCAATTTTGCTGGGTGATTTTGAGCAATCTTAAAGAACCCCCAGGGCGCATCTTGAGCATCGCAATTTCCGCCAGCTGATGAGGAATGTATTCAATCTCCTCTCACTCCCCCCGGAAAACTAAACAGATACACTAATTAATCGTGTTGTAGTTGGAATGTCAACAGCACACAACAGATAAATCTCTGGCTCCATGAAATCCACTCTCTTGTATCCCATTTCAAATTTCGCTTAGCGGTGTGGGGAGATTTTGGTCGCCCCTCAGATGGAAATTTCCTGGTGACAACTTCTGACTTTGGATGTAATTGAATTTCGCATCTTTCCAGGTGAAATGGCATTTTGTGTGTGAGTGGATGGGATTAAGTGATTACAACTATGCTGTGCCCGCATAATTTACTTCTCATCATACCTGGACGATGTTCCAATAAGGCACCACCTTGGCCAGACTCTCGGTCACCTCAGAGCATGCCGAGCCCAGAAGCATCACCATCCTGGTGGAGTGTTGGGTGTACAGAGCATGGAAGAAGCGGTCAACGCCCACTCCCGGATCACACTGTAAGGAATAGTTGAAATAGTTCACCAGATGCTTTGTCAGACATTCTTGCTGCTTAGAGTTATGATAAATAGGCGAATTTGCCTATTTGACACACCGACATTTTTCGGCTTTGGAGTCACAAAAGTTTAGAAATTATCTCCCAAAGCAAGGCTTTATGGAATAAATGCGATTTTACATGCTCATTCTCTACTCTCAGTGACACTTTATCGATATATTCACATGAGTAAATAACGAAGAATATATCAAATTGACACAATTCTTTGGGCGCATTGTGTATTTTGCTCACTTCAAAGAAATCACTCGATATTTTGTTTTGCTTGGCAAAAAAGTATGACATTTCAGAGCTCGACATCTCTTACATTTGCACAAGCTTCAAAATCCAAGGAAGAGATAATATGCTTAAAATCTGTACAGCTTTTCTAAAAAACACTATTTCCAAATTGTAGTGAATCTCTCAAGTTTCCATCCGATATTTCTGCAAGAAACCACTTAAATCCGCTCTTTTTGGGTGTCTTTTCCGACCATAATCTCAAAATATCAATAAGAGATATTGAAAGATTACGTTTGGAAGTTTTCTAGATTACAAAATCGTCTCTTTTAATTTGTCAATGAACTAAAAATTGCTGATTCCGTGACGAAATTGTCAAGGAAGTGTTCAAAATAACCATTTTCCAATTCCAAATGACTATATTTGAGGTTATGTTGCACCTTAACTCACTTTACAGTGTTTTTTGGCATCAAAAACTCGGATAGCAATTGTTGATTAAATTCATCCTTGATTCGTTACATAACGAATGTTTCTATGTCAAAACCAAAAGAAATCGAAAGAATAGACAATATATCAGTAAAAGAAAAACTCAGGAACGAAATATTTACCCCTTGTCAAAACCTTCGCCAAATAATACAAACAATTCAATTTAATCCATGAGGGAAATATGAATTGTAAATACATGAAAATACAAAACTGTTTCATTGCGACTCAATTTCAAATGAGCTTTCGAAGCTCGCGCGCGCGAACATTTGAGAAATCTATCCGTGTGTTTCCATTTTCCAAAAATACATATATCCCAAAAGCATATTTTTCCCCGAAAGGAGGAGAAAATATGTATGCGAAAAGTTTTAAAATTGACGGCACGTCCTGTCGCATTTGATTTGATAAATGCTCGACATTTGTGACCCGAATTAATGGGTAACATTTATAGCGAAAAAAAACCCCTAACTCGGACTCTTTTCCCACTCACCCCCACCCTCCGCATTTGCAGATGCTCCCGATGCCATGAATAAAAATATGTTACATTTTATTATCATACCGGCAACATTATTCCATGCATTAATTTCATTTTATCACAATAGCAACAAATAAATATGTGTGCCGAAAGAGAATTGTAGACTGTTTTTCCCGCCCGCCGCGCGCTCGCGCCCCTTTTTGCGGCGGATATGTGGAAAATGGGGTTGAAAGTCAAATTAAAAATTCAACCATGGAGCAATTCTGATGGGGTGAACCACAAGTGACCCTTTCGCTGCGCGCCCGTGAAACAATTTGGCCAAACTATGTCGCTCTGTCGGCGGTGAGAAATTGAGAAAATTGGAAAATGGCACAGAATGAGTGGCTGAATGCGAGGCGGAAGAGTTCCGTGACGGTTTTCTCTTGGAAAAAGTTCTGGTTGTGACAATTTAAGCGATAAAACTCATGGTAAATGCAATAAAGCAAATTCTACAGCGTCAGATATTACACTCAAGGCTGATGTAGCTAATATTCCACATCCCGGAGTTTTCTCATATTTAATTGTATTATCATTTAATCTAATTGGAAACTCGAAGCGAGAAGGTGTTTTCATTCAGCGACTTCAGTGAGGCGCGATTGCAGAGGAGAAAGCCAATTTGTCTGGCAATTCATGATTTTCTTTCGCATCTGTATTTAACAAAAATTAAATTATACATTAAATGTTTCGCGCTCACGGAAAATGTACAATTTAAAAAATATAATTTATCCTCATTTGTCCCTTCCTCGCGGCGTCTGTCGCCGAATCCGCTCACAGCTCCTTGGACTGATTCACGTTTTCTCATCTCCCCCTTGAAAGTTGAATGAATGGCTTTTCAGCCTGAGGCTGAGTCAAAGTTTTTTACCTCATTCGCAAAGCTTTCCAAAGCACACAAACCGCCCATTAAATGAAATCTCAACTTATTCATTGCCTAACGAATTTCTATTCCTTCTCAATTATACACTGACGTCACTCTCATACAGACAAGATAAATACTTTTCCCTCATCCTGTGCGCCAAACATCCTCCGAATCCATGTGACTCTCTCCAACTCTCAAAATATATTATTTACCATGTGGCACGCGGCAATCTGCCAAGGAGCAGATATTGTGGTCGGAAGTGGTGTAAAGCTTTTACGGAACTGTTTGGAAATGGAAATAGTAATATATCTTAAAAATTTGCACTGCGTTCAGAAGTGTCTGAAGTGTTGAAGATTCTGCAGAAAAATTGTGGTAGTGTCAGGAAATGGTGTACAGATTTGAGGCATATTATCTCCCCCTTGCCATTTTCTCCCCAGACTTTGCTTTTTTGCCACGACAAAATTCCTGTTCTTGTTCTACTGGAAAATTATGTGTGCGCGCCTCGCTGTTGATACAAGCGAGCTTTCCGCCGCTCTTCGAAAGGGTTTTACGTAAGGAATTCGATCTTATCTAATTCATTTATAATTAAACACAATTTTCAGCGTGAATGAACCATTTCTCGCAACTTATTGCTGCGTGTGTCTCTGTTTATACGGTGAATCAATACGAAGTCTCTTGGCTTGGAATATTCCATAATATACTTCCAACCCTTTTTTTTTCTTCATCCCCTCAGCATCAATTCACGGCCGGAGAGACGGAGTTTTCCGCCCTCCTCACTTTCAGTCGCAGAATTTATTCAGCATTTTAACTTGTTTTCCCAACTAAATGAAGTAAACATTTAGTTTCAGTCGCAGCTTCCGCCCTTATTTGCCATTCTCTTCCACTCCATTTTTAACCTATTTCCCTCCCCTTGTAAATTACACGCCAAGCAGTTTGCAAAACTGTTTTTTTCTCCTCCCCTTCAGCTACATAATCACGTTAAAAATCATCATGAAAGTTCATTAGAAAATCCTCCAGCATTCAGCTTGCAGGCGTGGACAATGTTCCTCATTTGCGTGGGAAAAAACTCTTTTTCCCAGCAATTTTTCACGTCGCGCTTTGGCAAGTGTTTGACAAGGTATTTCAATTGTGATTCACTGTTTGATTAAATAAATGGAACTTGTGAGTGAGTGAGAGCTCGGAAAATCTGCATCTTTATTCAATTTGAATTTACACTTTAGTCTTGATTGCATCACGTAGTAAAATTCATAAGTGTGGATGAAAAGGTGCGGAAGATAAAATATTCACATCGAAAATCAGTATCACAAATGCACGTGACGAAGATTGAACAGGATAAAGTTTTACGGTAAGATGCATGCTAACGTGTCTTTGGCAAACACTTTCCACACCATTAAGAGACATCTTCCTTATTTATGAACTTGTGTGATTTTATCTCCCTCTCGATAGAGTGAAAGTTTCCTCCGCACACATTAGGTACTCCATTTATCTATGGTATATTTTCAATAAATCTCTGGCGCGTGAGTAAAGAGAAAGTCTCTGCAACAATATTTGCAAAGTTCTTTCCCTAATCTATACTTTTGCTTCTGGAAACTCAAGTCTCTGTTCCCAAGAAGGGAACTTAAGTATTTAACGATGACATTCATAATTGATAGAGAAGCGTGTTGCAGGTGCATGTCTTGACGGAAGTGTATACAATGGAATAATGCAATAGAAACTGCCAGTTTATGTGATAAAATGCTACATTATGGACGGACAAATAAGATGTTCTTCGTGTATTTGTCGGAGAATAATGAATTCTTCTGCAACGTCAGTGAAATCGCAATTCCAGTCAATTTTGAGATCTCCTTAAGCTTTTGCCTTGAGCATGACATGAGATTGCGAAAGCTCAACTCACCTTTGTGTCATTAGCCAGCAACTCCAGCTGGTATCCTGGGAGGAGTCCTCGCTTGTTGATGTGCCTGATGGCCATTTGGGCGGCCGCCAACTCACTGTGTCCCTCGGGACGCTCTCCCGTGCGCGTGCTGAGCTCGAAGAGTCCCAGCAGGGACACTTTGCCTCTGTCATTCACTATCTGCGGGTTCCTTATCCTGCCAGTGCGCGCCTCCTCGAACACACTGTTCACGTGGCGCCGCGAAGAGATCGCCGTTGAGTTCGGCGGCGCGCCGCCGAAGGCCAGAGAGCCTCTCTTGTGGACGTCGCTCTTCCGCACGAGATCCTCGCTGTGGCAGATGATGTACTTCGTCACGGGCAGGAAAATCCAGTCTGTCACCGTGAAGGGATCGCAGAGCTCCGCTCGACGGAGGCAGGAGCGACTGAACAGGATGACTCGACCGCTGAGACGGAGTTTGCAAATGTGGTCGGCGGTTGTGTCGAATTGCACTGGATTAGCACCGAATTCTCTAACAATTTCGTAACGCTCGCCACTAATTGCCTGGCGAGCAATTGGTCCACTGACAGTCACTTCCTGTGGCATCTGAGCGGCGGAGATGACCTCCGTCCTTCCCGTCCAATTGACCCCCAATTGAGTGACTGCCGCCGACACGATTGGCTGCACGAGCATCACGAGGATGACAATGGTGTCAGCAGTGGGATTGCCTCGTCCACAATCGCACCACCCCATAATTTCCCACGATTCGGCAATTTCCTCACGCGTTTTTTGTCCACACACACCGATATTATCCCACTTCTTGCAGACCTTGATTGCTTCCTATGTTATTAACTTTCGCCCACACTCACGGACAGTCGGAGAAATTGAGGTGGTGAGCAAGAACAAAAAGCACACAGCATATTTTGCGATATGAGAAACAATATAATATCCAGCGATTTTCTCTCGCAAATATCAACCGCACAAATTGAACTTGCCACTCTCCGAGATTCGATAGTGTTTTTTCTTCTTCTCCCCTCCCCACTTGATGCTCCTTACTTTCCTCTCTCTATATTGAGCTTTCACCACAAGTCCGAGGAGATGCACATAAGAATCACACGAGCTCTTCCTGAACCGTGCTTTTTCCACTTTCGCCGCTTTTTCCTCCTGATGCTCGTTTTGATTATTTTCTTGCACACTTTCCACTCCACATTCGCACACATCTGCCCATCAGCTACGTCCACCCACGCCATTTTCCACCATCGGCGCCGCTTCTGTGGGAGAAGATGAAAATATCAAGATCCGCCTAATGTCTCTATCTCGATTCGCAATATAAAGAGGGAAGGTTTACAGTGGGCTCAAAGTGGTCCGTGTCGCCCCTTTGTCATGGTTCTTAATCAAATCCCAAGTCAAATCCATTGTTCCCCAGGAAATGTTGTGTTTTTGTGGACAACAAACGCAAACTAATGAGATTGAGGCCAAGGACATTTTTTAGCGCATTCCGCTCTTATTCAGGATAGTTTATCAGATCATCGATGTTCATTAATGTGGTCTGATTACAGTTTTGTGTTGTGGAAATTGTAAATTTGAGTATTTGCATAATATACTCTCACACAGAGCCGAGTGATTATGATTATCACAGTGTTGCATCTTTACGTGGTAAAAAATACTATTTTTTACATTTTACACGTAAAGAATGTGTAAAAATGTAACAAAAAATGGTTAAAACTCGTGAAAATCTCGCGAAAATTTTTCACTGCTCTGGATTATGCGACAAATATTGCTCTCTTATGATATTTGAGCTTGTCAAAATGGGAAAGAGGCTGAAAATTCTGCCTAGAATAAATTATTCTGTGCTGTAAAATAAGTCTTGGAACATTATTCCAAATGAAACCATCTTAGATCCTTTGTAAATCCTTTTACAGTTTATTTAAAATCAAGAATATGATATATAAAATATATTTTCAGGATGAGTTGCATCCTTTGCGTCCCGTTTTGGGTATCGTGACCTCTCTGACGGACTTCATTGCTGGCCAGTCTCATTGACCAGAGGTCACAGAAGCCACGAAATGATACGAAAATCACCTTCTCTGGCTCAAAATATGCTCAATAATGTAGTTTAAAAATGCTTCACGACGTTTTTGAAGCCAGTCCGCTCTTGGATGGGCATTTTGCTTCCTTGCTGTAATTCCTCGACGGTCAATCGGCAGCAGAAGGACCTCGAGAAGCACTGAAAATACAAAGAATACACGTTAAATTAGACAGTTTGGTTCTTTAGTTCTTGCATTTTATGATGACTTACCTGGCTCAATTATGCATACAGTTAACAGATTTCCACGAAGCGGATTGGCGAAATTTCCAGTTTTTCATATTCTACATTTTTTTCTCTACTGTTAATTTGATGTTAAAAATTCGTTCAAAATTATTACTCTCACACACAACATTTTGATGAGCACAACAATTTCACATTTGCGTTTTTCGGGCTTTGCGAGTCAAATTACACCTCTTCCGCGGCACTTTTTCCCTGCTGTGCAGGTGAAAACAATAGCATGGAAATGCGTGGCGTGGAAAATGCTCAGTTACATGCAAAAAGCTCCGCAGCATCGCGTTGTGCTGTTGTCTATGCGCCAGCGACGTGAAAGGGATGGTGAGAAGGGATATGAGTTAATTACTCGGATTTCTGCTGGCAAATAACAACCTGCGAGGGATTCATTTCATGGTCAATTACAATCAAAATGGAATCATTCGCCTTGTTTTCAATTTTGCATTGATGCTGGATTTTTTCTGTGCTCCTTTGCGGGAAAAAGAAGTCCAGCATCAATTATGTATGAGACTTTTCTCCGTCATAAAGACGAATGAAGAGTGATACTCTGTCGCCCCCCCAAAAAACCCCCTGAATAAGGAAATATGTCGGGATGCTTTTGTGGCAGAAAAGCCAAAGGAGAAGATGAAGAAGAAGGTGAGGTTGTCGGAAAAGACAACTTCAGCATGGCTTACAAGCCTCCATAAATTAATTCGGACCGATCAAACTCATTCAATCGGAAAGATGGTTAATTTGATAAAAGGGGGAAAATACAATAAGTCATGGCTATTAAAGAAGTTTGGGTCATCATGAATTGATTTATGTGCCGTCCCACTGAAATTTTCCACCCAATTCATGAAATTATAATCGTTTTATTGGACTCCTTCAATCATCAATTCTGCCATGTTCCAGATCTCTTCTGTTCAATCTATTGGAAGAATTATAAATTAATGCTGTGTTCATTCCATAACATCACACGAATAAAAGTTATTGGGCAAAGTTTAGTGTGATTTTTCTGTAAAACATTTAAATTGCTACTCAGAACTGATGGGAGAAAGTGTAATATCACAATGTGAGAAAGAGAAAAATGAGGAGTTCTATAGAAAATGACGCTTTTGACCACAATGTGTCACAATAGAAGAATTGTGGGACTTTCTGTGAATGCCAAGGGCGATTTTAATGAGACATTTCGCTGTGGCAATCGATATCTCAAAGAAAAAAAAAACGGTTTGGGAGCGAAGATTTCAAGCAGTGAAAATGGAGAGTTCATTAAGTTTTCTCATTGAGTATTTTTTTTTCTTCTCTTCACGCCGCAATATTGAATTGCTTGTGGGAGGAAAAGCAGCGGAAAAAGATGAGGGAAATTGCAGCCAGTGAAAAGGAGCTTCAAAAGGAGAGATCTTTATTCGCCATAATGTTTTATTAAGCAGAGAAGAAACACAAACATATAATAGCGTATTTATTTGCTCGACGGCGGTTGGTTTCCAAAATATGTGTTGTTCTACAAAAATTCACCAACAAATGTATATATTACTTACCAAATAGGATTAGACAATTGAACTGTTGTGAGTGAAAAACACGAGCAATCTTCTTGAGAGCTTTGTACGCTTTGCACAGTGCTTGAACCACACTGTGTATTGTAAATAAAACATAAATGCAATAAATCAGAAATGTTGTGGAAAAAATGGTCGAGATAAATCATTTGCAGGCAAATAAAAATCAATTCTTTACACAATGTTCCGACTGTTTGCATCCGGGCGGAGATATTTCAGGAGAAAAGGGCACAAATATAGAATATTTAGAGGGAGAGAGGGGGCAATTTTTGGGGGTGTATAAAAGCCACGCTGGGCGGCATGAAAATTTATACAAGATGCGGAGAATTTTATTGCACTTTGAGCATTTCGCGAAAGCTTCCCGCCGCTTAAGTCGCACTCGTAAAAATTGGATCCTCTCTAAGGTATATTCTCGCCATATTCTCAGCGGGATTATTTTCATTGAACACATTCTGAGGGGTTGCATATTTGATAAGAGAGGGGCTAAAAGGTCGCTTATCACATTCGTCTATACATCATAAAAGCGCTTGTAACATGTGGAGTGTCTTGTGCGGAGCTTTCGGATGCAGAATCCATCCGCCGCGAGCAATTGTGCGCGCCCGCCTTCGGCACTTCACCGGTATTTTATGTGGGCGACGTGCGGATGGGGTGGGAATTTTCATGATTTTCCCGACACGTGAGGAAATTCAAAGTGTCCCCCATTGAGTTGTGCAGGGAGGAAAATTGTCTCCTCCATGCAGTAATTTAAATGTTTATCACGCGATTCCTCACCACAAGATAAGATTAAGCTCCTTCCGCTCATGGATTTCCTTCCGTTCCGTCTGGGAGGAAGTGAAAGAAATACATATTTTATGCTAATGACACACTCCCTGGCAAAATGTATATTTTTTCTCTCCCTCCCTCTCTCCTTAAACATGAACAAACAACCTGTGCGAGACGAAAGGAAAACACACGGAGAATCATCCGCAAGACTGAAATCCCGTGCCGGAAATAATTATAATCTCACGAGAGAATTGCGACGGGAGACAAAGAGTGGCGGGAATTATTAATAGTGATAAAGAGAAAAAAATTTCACCTGCCCATGCGGCAAAGCGTTTAACCCATCGCGAAGTGGAAGGGTTGGAGATTCTATTTGCTCTCCAAATTTTCCTTCCTCCACGCGCGACCCAATCTTTTCATCCCTTCCGTGCAAGGGGCGCGCAAGTGAATCTAATTCCAGGTGTGGAGACGATAAAAAGGCGCTCCTCTGATTGCGCCACGACGGCGTGACGTCAATTGTACGGAAAATTGAAATGAGGATAAGCGAATCAATGAAGTGAAATTCGCCAGAAACCAATGTTTGGCGTTTTCTCTGGGAGATGACCTCCACCCACTCATGATTCCCGTGATGGATTCGACCCACTCGTCTGCTGCAAAATTGATGTACTCTGGAAGACACGATGTCAGGGGAGTGGATT